TGATCTGTTAATTTGATAATAAATTGATAACTTGAGGCTTAATTGCAAAAAAAAGATTGATATATTGTTTGTGTCTCACATTTCGAATAGAAAATAAATATATTTACTTTAAGGTGGGTGAACAACATTTTCTATGGGTTATCTGCCCATAACAAAAAAAAGAAAAAATAATCAAGACTTATTTTATGTGAAAAAAGTGTATTAAAAATCAAGCCTTGTTTGTGGAAAGTTTCTCGGAGCATCACTGTGAATGAGTTTAATGAAAAGGCAAAATATGACTCTGTGTTTGACATTTATTAAGGATGTGTATGAACGTCCTGTGTCTGTCTATCTTGTCAAGGGAACTTGTCCTTTTTTTTTTTTTGAGATATTAGTTGTTTTCTTTTTGAAACTGTGGTTACTTCTGAGGTCTTGTCTCATTTTGCATGTTAACGCTTTCCTTTTCTTCCAAGCTGTTAATCTCTTTAATCTATCCTTTCATTCCCCATCTTTCTCTTTGTTTTTTCTTTTCTACATTTCCTCCCATTCCTCAAGTCTCTGAGATACTATACATTGGACCAGTAAAAGGTAAGGCTCACTGTTTTTCTGGCTTCCTGCATTGCTTCCTTCACTTCCTCTCACCGCAGCTGGAGCAGTCACCTGACCACTGCTGACTCTGAGAAATCCCTGGCTCTGGTCACCTGACTCTCTGCTTCAGTGACACCTCAGCTGATGAGGGTCACGAGATGAGCTTTGCCCAAACACTGCATTCCATACATTCCCTTATCGGTTCACAGATTTGCTTGTTTAAGTTGTCTTGCTTTGTCCTAAAATCAGTATAAGATTAGAGCTAAAAGACTGAAAGGTCATGTCAAGGAGCTACCCAGCAAATACTGATTATCCTTATTATAATTTTTTTGTTATCAAGCTTTTATCTGGAGCTCATCATAACTGGTTATACAAACAAGCAGGCTTACGCAAAATATTATCCATATTAAGATGCGTATGCACATGATGGAGGGCATGTCTGTGCACTAAACATGAGTTACTTTACTAAGGTATATGACATAAAAAAGACCTTGAACTTTTAATGCAGTTTGATCAGAAGTATTCCTACTAGAAGTGCAAAAGTCTTATTTCATTGGTTCAATTGGAAGGAAGAAAGAAAAACCAGTGCTTGCAATGCAGCAAAAAAGTAGCGGTAATGTCAAATAATAGAAAAGTTAAGCCAAATAAACGGAGACCAATAACCAATGTCAAATGCAGTATGCAAATAAATGCAGGAAAAAACACTCACTATGGAAATCAGAAATAGATGCCCACCTAAGGCTAAGATTAAAGGGGTCATATGATGACAAGGACACGACTAGAAATCAGTGGTTAAGTTGTATTTACAACACTGTTCCAGAACAGTTCAACCCAAATATTCAGATGTGTGCAGCGCATTTTGCGGAGGACAAAGACTGTTTCCTGAGAGAGTAGCCTACAATGCTACTGGGTCTGTTTCTATAAAGTGGGGCAGTTCCAACTTTGCGAGGACAGTCTGGCGCTTCTGACTCACAGACTGTAAGTACATTTTTTATATTTAAAG